TAATCCTTTCGGTCATGGCAGTTAAATTATTGTCTGTTCCATAATTTGGTGTCGAACTTGGTGTATCAATTCATCAGCATTTTGGTTCCTATTCACCATAATCACTCCTTGATCGATTTCTCTAGGGATTGGTGGGGGATTTCGGGGTATTTCGACCCTAGGTTGCTCTATTTCTACTCTAGGAATCTAAGGATTTTGATTAACAGTCAAATCCTCTTCTACGATTACCCCTTGGTTTACTCACATTGGTATCCTTTGGGGTTGTCGAACGGTTTGGGGTACCCCAAAGAATTCAGCCATATGCGTCATTTGCGTTGCCATTTGCTGATTTGACTGGGTAGTATTTTGAATTAGGGGGTTCAACACTGTACTTAAAGTTTGTGCTAACATTTGCACCATATCATGGTTGCTTTCGTCCATCTGTTGCCTCAAAATTGTTGTAGAAGCATTTGTGAGGCTTAGTATTGCGTTCGATGGTCCTCCTAAAATCTGGTTTCTACCCAAATTTTTCATACTGGCTCCAGATCCTTGTAATGGCGATGATGCACTCACCAGCGATTCTGAAAAAGTAGACGCAACGTTCATAAGGCTAGCCATTTCAGTGGTTGGCATGCCATATGGCTGTTCTCGACCCATCCAGGCCCTCGAGAATCCTGGGGGAATGTATGGTCGAGATCCTGGATTTTCCCTTGGTGGGGGCGTTCCTAAAGGACCTTTAGGACCTACATACGTTAGTAAGGGTCCTGGTTGATTTGTGGTCAACGATGGTATTAAACCAATGGAAGTTGAGATATTTTCTCCAACGGTGGTAATAACCGTTGTTCCAGTAGTATTTGGTGGAGGTATTTCTCCATGATTTGGCTCATTAGCCATTCTACTTTCACTATTTCTCTTCCTAACAGTACACTCGTTGGTTATTCTACCACTTCTTAATAACATACAATGCTGTATACTTATAAGGAAAGCAATAACATGAACAAATAGATGATAAAAACTAGCAACGTCCAACCAGGTGTGCCAATTTGTTTACCGTGGTTTTTGGTAAACAACCGCTGATCCTCCAAAAAGGAAAGTCTTTTTGGTTACTTGCGGGATCGATCAGATTGATCCCAGAACATATGCTAATTTTTATGTTGGTTTGATATGAAAATATATGTCTAGGAAGAACGCACGTTCGACCAAAGATAAGATGCTTGTGGTTTTAGAAGGTAATAAAGTTAATAGAAATGCAGGTAAAGATGCAAGAAAAGTAAATTTTCAAAATAAGATCAAAACAGTGTAAAAAGACTTTATTAATGAAAAGTGGTGTTTCCAACGTACATTTCTCAGTTTATCCTTTCACACACAGCGGGTACTTGGACAATATTTGAGTAACTAGCACAATAGGTTGAACACCCAGAAAAACTACACAGATTCCCAATTTTATACTACAACTATGTAACCGTCGAGGAATGACTTTGCTCTAAGATGAAGACAAGTGTCCCCTGCATGTCCCTCGACCTCTCTCTTCCAGCCACGTCGCCTTTCCTTTAAATGCTGGCGAAACCGTCTTTCCTCCAACAATTCAAATTCAAATATCCTTCGTCTTTGGTATTGACACAAAGGTATGTTCTTCTAGTCGAAGGTCATAGGACCTTCTTAGTCGAAATCTTGATGGTGATGCCTGGTCGAAGACCAATGTGTAACTCAGATATTTTCTCTAAGTTTTTTCCACCTGTCGAAATACTTTCCAGCTTGGCATTATTTGTTCTACTTTTGGCCTATAAGGCCAATATATAATAGGTGTCAAATTTAGGAGCCAACACAATCAAGGTTCTGCTGCTTTTTTTAAATCTTGACAAATTGAATTTGATTCTATTATATTTCCTTTGGATATGTATCAGAGATTTTCGCAGGTCAAGAAGATTAGTTTGGAACAAGTTTCATATTTATAGCAGTATAGAAGATACTAATTTGGGCCTTGAGACAAATTAGGAAGCTATGCATTGATGGTTCCAAATTTAAGGAGATTTATTACACATTTGGTGTAACACTCAGCTTGTGGATCAATAAACTTTTGGACTCAGAATATCAAAGCCCATGGATTACAGAGTTGTATTTAAAGAAGAATCCCAACCTAATGTAATTTAAAATTTCAACAATTGTAAAATTAGGGGAAACATAAGTCTTAGGTTTTGAGAGTCTCTTGTGTAGTTTTGTAAGTCACCCATGTATCTTTTGATACTATATGGTCGGCTGATTGTTGCTTGACTGTTAGTCAAGTTATTATTCTCACTCAAAAGCCTTCAGACAATGAGTTGCATATTATTCTCACTCAAACATTTTAAGCAAGAGTTTGGGTTTTTGTAATGGAAGAATGATATTCTAAATTGAGTTGTAATTATTGCAGTTCCAGTGAATGCAATTGTTAGGTATCACAGCAGTGATTGGAAGTGGGATGTTGATTTCTCAGACCTAGGGAGGACCTAGGCGAGAAGTTGTAAACTTGAGACTAGTTTAACTTTGAACTAATATTTCTTATAGTGGACTTCCTTCCTAGCTTGGTAGCCCCAGAGTATGTGACGTTGCACCAAACTGGTTTAACATATTACTGTGTTATTTAACTTTCTGCAGTTTATTTTTGTATCATATTCAACTTGATTGATCTTGTTTGTTACCATATGTTGTAATATTTGTCTCGACATCTTCTGTTGTTAAGACAATTTTGTTTAATTGTGTTGCATGTACCATAATTTCAACTCTCATCATGACTGACCTCATGCTCTGCAATGTGCAATTTCGTCCAAAATACATGAATTGAGTCTAAAGGAACATGATTTCCTATTACCTAGAATCTGACAAGCTAACACGCATACGGTAACCCGTGTGTTGTTCTAATGAAGCAACCACATCTTCCTTTGCTTACACCAATAAATCTTACCTTTTCTAGTTCTTTTTCAATGATATGTATACATTGTCTTTAAAAAAAACGTCCAACCGGGCATAAAATATAGTGTTATGCCGATGCTCAATATTGACAATAGTTTTTTGAAACGACACTCTGATTGAACCTAGCTGCAACTTCAACATGGTGTTCACAACATCTCAACTTAGGCATAAATCTTCCTGACTCGTAGTTAACAAGTTTTTTAGTCTCCAATGAGGTGATTCCACCCTAAAAACCATAAATAGAAATATATGTTAAATTATGATTAGTAATGTAATAACATCAAAATGTCACAACACAAGTACCTGTTTGTTATTGCGTTCCAAAAATGAGTGACTATATTAGTCCAAGCAGTAACATACCTTTCTTTATAAGGTGTCAACCATGTGTCTGTCACATATTTAACAAATAAAGGAATATAAACACAAACACTCTCAAAGTGCTTGAAGTGTTCGACAAACTCAGTTTATGTATTTGAATACATGATGTTGTTCAATAGATCCATGACATATGAAACGAACACAACAAATGTGTTGCATTTGGAAACACAAATTCCATGGCATTCATCAATACAAGTTCTCGGTCTGTCACCATAACCTTGGGTAGTAATTTCTTAGTAGAGAATAACTCTTCGAGCTTTTCCAGTCCCCATGTGATATTCTCCTCCCTTTTATGTTCCAAATAGGTAAAGGCAACTGAAAACTTCAACTTCGTTGACGTAACACCAATAATCTTAAGCAGTGGTATCCAGTACATACACAATCAAAATGCACATAATCAAACTCATAAATCAACATCTACAACAAATATCAGGATGTACAATAAAAATTTCTTACCTGTTTGTCTTGTATGTGCAATAAAAAATCAACATTGAATGAAACATATTCAACAACTTCACAGAATCAAGACGTGTCCAAAAGATATCAGCTACAACATCTGCATTTCTGTCAATGAACCTCTCTTGCTCGTTTTATATGTAGCTCTAGCTTGATACATCTGGTTACACTCGCGAGATTTTCTGGATCTTTGTCGTTCAAAGTAGCAACTATGTACCTTGGAGCCATATTGTAATTCGACATGTCATTCACAAACTTTCTTTCATGATCTTTTAGATGATCCAATATGTCATGACCTTCCAAATCCTCAAATAGTTTATGATTGTGCATCCTGCACCTAACTATCACCTTTCAACTGATACCACTTGGAACTGATCTCAGCCTAAAAGGATATTTAACTTCCATAGTACATATGTCTTATGAAGAATTTTTGCTTTCATATGCATTTCTTCTTTTGTAATTTCCTCTTCGCTCACAACCCATAATCAATTTATCCTTCCTCCCTGACATTCCATTAGCAGAATCAGATTGAACAATGACAATAATAATACCATGTCGTTTACTATTAAAATATTAGTTTTATAACGACGGAAAACAATAAAAAATAACATTTATTGCATATAAAACATACAACATCCATGGTGAAGAACTTCGTAAAATATTTACAGAAATCTGCATAAGAAGCTGTCAATTATGGACCACATAAGTAAATAATTTTATCTGCAACCCATACCAAAAATTTCTGGTATACCGAAAATTCCAGAATATTTTGTTATTTCTCAGAAATTAAAAAAAATTCGAAATGTTTCTTTGATTTTCTAGCACTATACTGAATTTTCCAAAATTTTCGATAAATCGTCTCTAAATTTTTTGAAATTTACACACTATTTCTAATAAAAACGCGAAATACATACCGAAAATTTCATTTTGGTTACCAGAAATTTTGTTTTTATTCCATAGTAAATTTTTTTAGGGTATATATATTTGTCCATACGATAAGATGGGGTGCTAGATATAATTATAGGGGTGGCAGGTTGAATTCTGTGGAAAAAGAAACAGTTGTTATAGAAAAGGTCTGAAAAGTGTAAAATTTTGGGCTTTTGGGATGTTGGGCTTTTGACCCATGAATATATATTAAATAACAGAAACAAATTTCGTCGTTGTTATTCTACAAACCCTAGCGGCATTGAAGAACCCTTTGTCTGCGAAGGATATCACAGAAAGCTTGAGCTTCAACAATGGTTTGTGATCTGAATCTTCTATGATATTGTATATTCACTTTTCCGTTGTTAATATAGATATGTATGAATTTGTTGTTTGCAGACTTTCAAGCGTAGGAATGGAGGACGCAACAAGCATGGCCGTGGCCATGTCAAGTTCATCCGTTGCTCCAACTGCGGAAAATGCTGTCCTAAGGATAAGGCAATCAAGAGATTTCTTGTGAGGAACATTGTTGAACAGGCTGCTGTTAGAGATGTTCAGGAAGCTTGTGTTTATGACCGTAGGATTCTTCTTTGATTGTTTGAATGTTTGATTTGATTTGATTTTGTGCTTTTATAATTTTGATTGATTCGAATATAGGTTAATCCGTTAACTGATTCATTGTTTTTGTATTTGTAGAATACACTCTTCCTAAGCTGTATGTGAAGATGCAGTACTGTGTGTCGTGTGCAATTCATTCTCATGTTGTGAGAGTCAGATCTCGCACTGATAGGAGGAAGCGTGACCCTCCTCAGCGTTTCATCAGGCGCAGGGTAATTACTCTTTTCCTCATTTTCTGTTTTGTTCTTAACTAGTTATTCATTGAATTACCCTGGATATTTTAACTATGAACATGTGCATAATTATGCTGTAATTCAATCAAAATAGGATTGGATTTCACCTACTAGAAATGAGAAATTTCTAGTGATTTAGATATTTTAAAATAGGATTGGATCTCACCGTGTTTATGGTAAAAAACAAATTCTAGTTAAATCACAGCGGTCATTGAAATCGCCATTGTGTCCGATAATTAAAACCTTGGGCCACTCTAGTTTTCTTTACTAAGTGTGTTTAGTGGAAGGGCTTATCTCCCATTCCACTCATACAAGTTACAATCTAACAAAATATCCATTTGTATACCTCCCCTCCCTCCTCTGTTGAAACCCACATCATTTCCTCTAATGTGAATTTTCTGGAAATTGGTTATCTGTCTGTTTTTTGTAGTTATAACCTGTGTACCTCTTTTACTTGTTGGTGTTAACAAATGTATTTATTTCTTTTTTTAAGGATGATGCACCAAGGCCTGGTCAGCCTGGTCAAGCGCCTCGCCCTGCCGTAGCTGGAGGAGCTCCTGTCCGCAGTTAAAAGCATTTCGGGAGTTTTGGTCGAGTTGGATTAGTGTTATGTCACAAACTCAATTTCCTTTTCTTGTTTTAAAAAGTTTTGTATTCGTGTAGACAGTATATTGTTGTTCTCATGCTTACTTTGATCTCGAGGGGAACCTATATTTTTGATAATTTATATTTGGTACTTTTAATGAAGTTCTTTAAATGTTGCGAATCTGATTATCAACCATGTTACGAATCTGATTATCAACCATGTTACGAATCTGATTATCAACCATGTTACAAATCTGATTATCAACCATGTCAATTCAATGTTATGGCATTTAAATTGCTTTCTTCTTTGGAGGTTAATCATAAAACTGTTTGACATAGCCCGACTAATGGATGCCTCATTTTTATGAGCTCTAATCTAAAAAAGTTTCTGCAGAAGTGCAATGCCAACGGCCAACTAAGTTTCCTCTCAACCTAGTTTTTTCACAGTATCAATAGAACACTTAAAGGCACATGATTTGTTAAAGATGTAATGTTTTTGTAGAATTGTTATACCTATTCAAAGTTGAAGATGACTTTGGAAACGCAACTTAGGAATGGCATGATTAACCGTGTAATTCTTGTTTAGGTACTTTTAGAGACCGATTTATCTCCTAGCTTTTAGCTAATCACCAAATTTCAATTATGAATAAGTAACAATCGATGTCTAATGAGGAGAAACAAAAAATGTACAAAAGTATAAAAAAAGACAAGAAATTTACACAAAAGAGACTAGAGGTAGAACATTCAAACCAGAAAAATATTAAAACAATTATCTTGGGCAGCAATTGTTAACTTCACTCTTTATTTCATGAAGCTCCTCCTGGGCCACGTCTCCCAAGAAGCTTAGAGTCGGCTACAGACTCTGCAATGGTTAAGGCATTACTACTAGAAGTATCTGCATAATCTTGCTAAAAGATGAAGGAGTTCTAGGATAAGGTAAATAGGATGAATCAAGTTTGATCCCTCTTGAATACTATTATGAGTTGGCTGTACAATCAAACTAATAATAAAACTTTTTTATACACAACATTCAGATGAAGAATCAGAAATAGTTAGACATCATCCATCATGTACATAATTTGTGGATACATTTAGTTCCAACACACTTCCAAACAAACCCTTTTCCAAAACCCAATCTTCTATCATCACTTGAGAATTCAAAGGTTGATCACTAGGCAAAAGATGTCCACCCCCCAAAACCACAACATTAGTAAAAGACTTCCATTTCTGCACATAACCAGCTACCTCTCCATTCACCTTCCAAATCTCCCTCTCACCATTCACAAACTCCTCTATCCCTTCCCACTTCATACTCTTCACCCAAGCCTCTACTTGAACCACACCAACTCGCAAATCGCGCTGACCTTGATACAACAAAACCCTCATCTCCTCCTTCAATAACTTCTCTACCATATGCTTCACACTTTTCATCAAATCAGCATACAATGCCGCCCAAACAATTTTACTGCATTTCTCATAAACAGACGAATCATCAACTTTCACTCCTAAGGCCTTCCTCACCGCACCAATGTTCAAGAACTTAGCAACTAATTCATCTTCATACGGAGCTTTTCGCGAATAATCATACAAAGTAGCCAACCCTGTCATGTTTTGCAACACGTCCAATACACGGTTTCTAGCACGAGTCGCTTCACTCCAGTTCTTTCTCTCTACCAACTCAACAGCTTCAAGTTGTAATTTTTCCAGCTCATTTTTTTGTCTCTCATTGATTAATCCAATGTAATAAGCATTATCAGCATGAGTAACCATTTGGGTCACAGGATCTGTTAATCCATTACCAATAGCAACACCAGCTAAATTCACTCTCTCAGAGTCTTTCGAAACAGCGTTTTTCTCTAATATGTAGCATCCAATTGCAGGAATGTACTTTCCAGCATAGCTTTCACCAGTGATATAAATAGGACGATGTTTGAAAACATGATCAAGTTGAACAAACCTTGTAATAGCAGCAAAAAGATGTTCTGCAACCGCGTTTTGATCGGTTGGAATCTCTTGTGGAGTTGAGGCTACACTGAAGCCAGTTCCAATGGGATTATCAAGAAAAAGAAGGCCAAAGATTCTGTTCCAAGAAGAAGGGTTGGGTTGAAGGGTGAGTGAGTTGGTGACAAGATAGGGACCAAGTTCATAGAAGTTGCCTGTCATGGAGGAGCAACCAGGGCCACCTTGAAGCCATATGAGAAGAGGGGTTTGGGAGAGAGGTGAAGTGGAGTTTTGTGCTTCATAGAAAGTGTAGAAAATGGAGGAAGTGGAAGTGGGAGTTATTGGTAGGTAACCTGATTTTGTGGGAAGTGCTTCATAAGGGAATATTGAAGAATCTGAGAGTGAAAGAAAGCTATGAAACTGTAACAAGAAGAAGAAGAAAACGAGTGTGTTGATGAAGAGGGTGGTTGAGTGTCTCTCCATCTTCATCTTCTTCATCTACAAAACGACATGAAGTATGAAACGCACAAGAGTGTCTCTTTTGTCTCCCTTTGGCTAGCCGACATACATGACATGGCTTTTTAAATAGATTTTAATCTTTACAATATCCCTGTTTTTTTTTTTTGGTTAAGATACAGAACTTGTAAATTAAAAGAGTTGTTACTTTTAGTCTTTGACATCATATGCAACCCAATATGATTTTAAGTTTCAAAACCTGTGGATGGCCTTGCCATTGAGTTTTTCTATCTAGCAAGCGTCATATGGCAACTTCAAATATTATGTATGGTCTCTCTTAATCGAAAAATAGTTTTTTTGATTTGGGATGGTGTCACTATTTCTCGCCCTCTATTTTAAAAAAAAAAAAACATAGGAGATTGTTGAGATTATAATTCCTTGTGTCTAAGCAGATTGTTCGACAGAAGGAAGGTTGTGTCGAAATAGTTTAGCCTAGTGTGTGTCGAAATAGTTTAGCCTAGTGTGTGTCGAAATGTTGAAGGAGTAGCATCGACAAGTGATCGTACCTGATCAAAAGGGATTGTCAAAGCCCGCAAGCTTCGAGTCGAGCAACAATTAAAGGTGAAGTGGGGGAGGGGGGGGGGGGGGGGGGGGGGGGGGTACCTGCAAGACACTTCGATGTCAAAGTGAGGTTTATAGCTAATGCAAGTAAATGAGTATGAGAATGTGAATGAATACCTGACCCTCTCAAGTGAGAGGATATTTATAGCCCCAACGCAGGGCCAAGGTCTTCAGTGATAGGTCACGATGAGGCCCAACAACGAAGACTGCCAGGGTTTACGTGGTATGGAGTCCAACACGTGGCCTTCTCCCTGGTCAACGGTCCCGGAAAAGCAGGATGTGAATCTATTATTCTCAGAGGACAGGATGACGGTGATATGGACACGTAAGCCACATTCTCATAGTGGACACGTGGGGACATGCCCAACGGTTCTCAGTTTGGACTGCGTGCTTTTGGGCATTTGGTAGAGGCGCTGAATTAGGCCTCCCCAACGGTGGGGCAAGTGTCGACCCAGTTCAGAACATGAGTCTCCCAAGTTATTGCCCTTACATAAGAGGGTGATGACTTAAGTTCAGCTCCACTATCGGGGAACCCTCGCCCGAGAAGGGAAATTGTAACCCTCCACCGGGGATAACTTGTTGACCCGTGTCGGGGATTCCGAAAACACGCGAGCGGCATAGTCAACCAGATCAGTGGGCGGTCCAACGATCGACTTTGGTTCTGATTTTGTTTGTTTGGTGCCCGTCAGAAATATATAACTATAGGATGCGAGGAGTTTCCTCGAGTACTCTTTTTTCGACGTGCCCGTCTATAGGGTGTTTCTACGATGTCGAGCGTCTACCCCACCTTCGGGAGTGAAATGATAAGAATGTGCCCGTATGCAAGGCCTTATCATGAGGTCGCGCGTGTGCCCGCCACTAAGCGGGAAACATCATCGAGAAGCCCGTATACACATTAAAGTCAGGGATTAGTTCGTCTTCAAGAGTGGGTACATGGCTGCTCATGAACTCCACGTGGCAGTTGTTTGGGATGCCAACTTTTGACAGGGGAGTTCAAAAGCCCAAAATAATGATGAATTTTCACGTGTTTCCTCATGGGGTGTGAACCATCTATAAAAGGGGAACCTTGGGGTTCATTTGTTATTCTCAAGTTTTCTTCTCCACTCTTCTTCGTTTGCTCATGGATTTGCTCCGTTCCAGCGCCATCGTAGAATTCTTTAAAGTTAATCTTCTTTCAAGTAAGTCATATCTTCTTGATAACATTTTTCCCCAGAATTCTTAGATTAATGGCTTAGATTGTCACGAATGGATGAATCCTTGATGAATATTCATGGGTTCTGCAATGAATCTTCATGGATGTTCATCAAGGTTTGTGGATGTGGATAGAAGTTCATAGGCCCAACTTCATAGGTTAGTGCCAGGTTCATCCTCCTCGAACGGTGGGGTGGACCTGGGCATCTTTTCCTGTTATACCAAATGTCCCCGAGGAGGGTGTAGTTTATTCCAGTGTGGCAGTGGAGGGCTTGGGTCGAGGTTCATTCCTCGACACATTCATCGCCATTTCACTTGATTTGCGGTGGAATGGTGAATTTGATGATTTCGAATTCACTATTTTTCTCTACCTTTCGTGTATAATGGCAAACCCAGCCAAGGAAGACACCGTGCCCGCCATTCATGAGAATGAAACTAATGTCACGGAGGATCCTTTGGCCTGGGTTGCGCCTGAGCCTAGGAACAAAAGGTCATGTTTTTCACAGGACGTTTCTGACACGTTCAACTGCCCAAAGATTCGAGCAATGGGTGCTCCCACCAATTGGGCTCTTCATATCCCTCACCCAAATAGGAGGATATGCTCGACATACCCGGGAAAATGCTTTCCCATGTATGAATTTTCCTTTAAGGAAGCGGGAATGTGTTTGCCATTCAAGGACTTTCAGGTGGGGGTTTTCCAATGGTTACAATTGGCACCTTCCCAGCTTCATATGGAAGTGCCTGCGTTCATGCGCTCATTCGAGCTTGTATGTCAATATCTTCAAATAGGCGCCACCTTACCCCTCTTCTTACACATTTTTCACTTACAAAGGGAGTTCATCGGGGGGGGGGGGGGGGGGGGGGAGGGGGGGGAGGGGACAAGCTTGGGTGTTGTTTAAACAATTTGGAAAACTTTTCCAGCCGTATCTCGAATCTGTTTGCCATTTTAAAGAGAGGTACTTTGTCGTGAAGCCCCTTACAGATGCAGTCGTGGCTTCCTTGTACGACCGCTCGAAAGAGATTTAGGAAGGTCGGCCATTAGTTCGACTGACGGCTAGATTTCCTCTCGAATGGCAATGGAAACATTTCAAGCAGAAGCCCGAGTATTACGCGGTAAAACCTGAGGACTTGGATGCCCAAAATCAACTTTCCTATGAGAAGCTGGTGGATTTTTGTCAAGAGTTTGTGTGGACATGGACAACGACTTCCTTTTTGATGACAAAGGGGAGTATCTCCTCGTTCACAAACTGATTAATACAAAAGCTTTGCTCGAATGTTCTTCAGACGAGGAGACTTTGAGGATTTTAGGTAGGGGATATGATCGTGACCTTATCTTTGTATGTTTGGCTTTTATGCAGGGGACATGCCTGTGGTATCATCTTTGTACGTTTGACCCGTGAGTGATAGTTTCCTTTTGATTACAGGTCGAATGGCGTCCCTTTCTGAGCGTTTACTGAAGTTGAGGCCCAAGAATGCATCCACCTCAGGGCCTAAGAATAAGGTTACTCAACTTCAAGAGCATGTAAAAACTTTTGCCCGAGCGAGTGGTTCTCCTTCTTCCTCGAAGACACAAGTTCCTCCTTCCGAGCCCCTGGTAAAGAGGAAGCGCGTGGAGGACCCCGAGCGAGTTGCACCCGAAAGTGACAAGGGAGTCGGGGAAGTTTTCGTGTTGTCTCCCTGCTATCTCAACTGTGATATTTTTAGTGGGGAGAGTTCTCTAGGGTTTCACGAGGAATAAAGGGAAGCGATCTTGTCCGAAGGCAAGGAAACTCGACAAAAAAGCTTGTCAGACGACGTGGCCGCCGTGATGAGGCTGCTTGAAACGACTTTCACGTTGAATGATGAGGCTGAGAGCTCTCAGGTCTCCCTTAACAAAGCGTACACTCGGATCTAGAAGCTGCAGGGTATAAATGAAAAACTGAAGGGCGATATCCTGAACTATGAAACAAAGTATGAGGCTTAGGTTCAACTCCTCAAAGATCTGAATGAGCTGCAACCTTAGCTGGAGGCTGCGAATAAAGAGAACGAGCAACTATTCGCCAGAATAAAAGATCTAGAGGGGATTGTGGCTCCGACTGACGAAGAGAATGACACGGAGAAAGCCATCACGACCAGGGGAGATCTAATCGTGCGTATCCATGTGCTCGAGCAAGACGTCATGGATACCCTTTGTTATGGCTTTAACACATCAGTGGAGCAGCTCAAGATATTGAACCTAGGGGTCGAGTTAGTGGTTGAAGGTGCAGGGCCATTTAATCAAGTGATTGATGGAAATATCTTTTATTCCCCCGATGATAGTCCTACAGAGGATAGTGACGGGGAGGAAGAGATTTGATATGTTTCTGAGCCTGCGTGCCCACTTTGGTTTTAGTTTGGATTCGCGACCTGCGTGCCTATTAATTTTGTAATTATTTGAACATTGCCGACCTTCATGGTTGGCATTTATAAATGCTTTATTTTTCCTTTATGCCTTTGTTTATGTTTGTTAAATACTTGCTTGTCGTTGTGCTTGACTTGTCTATTTCATGAAGATTGGTACTTCTATGAGTGGAGATTTGTCCTCGACCTTTGTTTTGGTCGACACATGTTGGGATGTGTCGAGGAGGTGGAGTAGGAATCCGCATAATGAATTCAAGATCACGGTCAGGGTCTTAATTTCGTGGCGTGAACTTCCCATCGTGAGCTAGGTGTTCTGCCTATTAGGTACTTCGACAGTAGAGCTCGATCGAGGTGCTTCTATCGGGCTAAGCTTCTGCTCAAGAAATGAACAACAAACCCGCCTTTCGTTAATGATTGGAGGCTATGTCCGTACCTCGACACACCTCCATGGTCGAGCGTGTCATGTTGTCTGTTGGAGAAGACTGGTCGACTACTTAGGTTCGTTATTTAACGAGGACCTAACTGTAATATTGTTTCAACTTTGTGGCATTCCATGGTCGAGGTAGCGGTTCTCCGTTTAGGTATTCAAGGTAGTATGCCCCGGTACGCGTAGCCCCGTGGACGTGGTATGGTCCTTCCCAGTTTGCGGCCAGCTTCCCTTCACGCGAATCTTTCTGATTTCTACACAAGACTAAGCTGCCGACTTGTAATTCACGCTTTATGACTTTGCTGTCATGGCGAAGGGCTATTTGCTGTTCCAGTGTGGCTTCACGAAGAGCTGCTCCTGATCGGATATCCTCGATTAGGTCAAGCTCGTCTCTTAGGGCCTCTTCATTTAGTTC